TTTGAGTTCGCCCGTACAAACCAACTACGCGGCCATGCATACAAAGTCGGGAATGAGCGCACGCGTTTAGACCGACGAAAATTTTCATTCAGCCAGCGGGTTGTCAGACCGTGGAACTCGCTTCCAAGTGAGATGGTGACGGCTGACACAGTTTGTGTGTTTAAAAGAAAACTTGCTCGTCTAGTTTTCGACAGAAATCGGCTTGTGCAGCATGACTATGCACAGCCAGTTTTGTAAAATCTGTCATATACAATCTTCCGCACTAATTTAGAGAGACCCCATGCACTACCTTATGATTATGATTGAACTGTGACCCAATCACATTTTAAATGCCTGCAATTTAATTTAATTTTTGAGTATGACTCTGCGAAAGCACTGTACATGAATAGGGTCATCAAGGGCTCTGCCTGTAACCCTTCAATATACATACATACATACATTAAATGCAAAACCAGCACCCAATTTTAGTAACAGCCGCCTAACCCCAAATCAACTTGACGAAGACTCCATGAACAACTATATTAGGTCGGTAGACTGGGGTCCATATCTTCTAACAACATCCCCTATGGAAGCGGTTAACCTATTACGATTGAACTGTGACCCAATCACATTTTAAATTCCTGCAATTTTATTTTATTGTTAAGTATGAATCTGCGAAAGCACTGTACATAAATAGGGTCATCAAGGGCTCTGCCTGTAACCCTTCAATATATACGTATACATATCTGATTTTCCCCGACCGACGCACACAACCTGGTGTCGACCCACAAGGAAGTTTTCGATCTATTTAAGGAAGTTGCCACCGATCCCTATTTTTTTAGCTTATGTAAGAGCCTTTGGTGTGGCACAGTGTCGAAAGCCTTCTGGAAGTCGATGAAGGCTATGTGAACCGCGTGCCTGTCGTCGAGAGCTCGGGTCCAGCTCTGGAGAGATTGCATCAGGTTTGTCGTGCAGGATCTTCCTTTTCGGAACCCATGTTGGCATTTCGATAGCAGGCCGTGAACTTCCAGGAATTGCATCAGTTCAGTCTTTATGATCTTTTCCATCCCTTTGCAGAGAATGCATGTCAAGCTTATGGGCCGGTAATTTGTCGTCGCTGCCCTGTTGCCTCCTTTGTGTAGCGGAGTAATATGCGCCAGCTTCCAATCGACAGGAAGTGTTCCAGTGTCAAATGACGTTTGAAAGAGCATCGACAAAGGCACAGAGAGCTCACTGGCCAGTTCCTTCAGAAGTTTGGGTGGAATCTCGTCTGGTCCTGGCGACTTCGATTCGTGCAATGCCTCTAATTCTCTTCGGACAATGCCTTCTGAGAAGAGTATATCACAGACGCTTGGAGTCGGCAGTTCTTCTGTGGAGGGAGGAAGGAACCTTGCCTCGTTTGTGTAGACTGATTGGAAAAACCGTGAAAAATACGCAGCTTTATCCCTACTATCAGCGATCTCAACGCCATCAGTAGTCTTTATTAAGGGAATTTGATGCCTGTTCCTTGTACTTCGTCGGAGGTAGCTGTAGAGCAATTTTGGGTCCTGCGTTGCTTTTTGTAGCAAGTTCTTCTCGAATTCCCGCCGCGTCTGCATTATCAGCTTCCTCAGTTTGTTCCTCTGTGTCTTTTAGGTGTTGAAGCATTCAGCTTGTCTAGTGACGCAGTATTTTCTCCACAATTTGTGCTTCCTGTTGATTTCTTTCTTGAGGTTATTTAGCCACCCAGGGCGTTTGTTCATTCTTACACTAGTCAGTGGGCAGTGGTTGTTGATGAGCTGCAGAAGGACATTCTTGAACAGCTCCCAGTCATCGTTGGCACTTCCCGTAAACAATGAGTCCCAGTCAAGACCGGATAAGTCTGCCCTCATCTGATTGAAGTCGCCCCGCCAAACATTACGCCTTTTGTGGTCTGGAGTATGTGAAATGGAGGATAACGAATAATCCCACATAAGCACTACGTGGTCACTTCGGCCAAGGGGCGGCATGGAGGCGATCTCGTCTATGCTGTCTGGTGTTTTCGTAAAGACCAGATCCAGGCAGTTTGCCCTTTGTCCTTCACTTGTTCTCGTTGGGAACATTACATGTTGTGTGAGGCACGCATTTAATGTTTTGCTCAGCAGGCGGTAATCGGATGTCGATTTTGGACCTGACGCTTGGAGGGTATTCCAGTTTGTTCCTGGTGCGTTGAAGTTGCCCATGATCATGATGTTAGGTCGACTGGAAAATTTCTCCAACTGCTCCAATAGTTGAATGTCGGCGATTCGGTCTGTCCTAGGTGGTCGGTAGACAGTGAGGACATCGAGACACGGGGAACCGGTAGCCTTGATGGTCAACCAGATAGCTTCCGTACTGCACGCAAACTTGGTGGTGTTATCCGACACTGCCAGACCGTCATTCACATACACAACGATACCACCACCCTGACGATGTTCCCTGTCCCTCCGATAAATTTGGTATCCAGGCAAGGCTACTTCGTTAT